AGTATAACTACAGGCTACAAGCACTCCATCTTTGCTCTCTAAGGTGACAACGCATCTGTATCCTACTTTATTTTAAGTCAGCTGCAAATGTCTATAGACTGCAGAAGCCACTCACCATCAGTTGAAATGTAAGTTCGTTTGTACCCACAGTATTTAAAAAAATTACACCTATGTCAATCCATTATAAAAGTTAAATGGCGGTCTGTTGTACTAATTGCATTTAAAATATTTAACAGACGTATCCAAACATATCGTATGCGTGCCGTACAAAAGAGAAATACTTGCGATTGCCAAATATCGCTACCGGTCGCTACACTTACATTTATAATAAAACCTTTTCTTAAACACGCGTATGACTCTCCGGAAATTACACAATCCCGTTAATATTGCGTAATTACGTAAAACAAACGTGACTGCACGTAATAAACAACGACGGTAGCCTGATGATTGCGGACTGCGAAAATAAAATCGTCTCGTGGAATTCTACGACTGTAATCAACCCCTAGCACAAGCCTAGTTGAATTGGATAACAGAAGTATTGGTATCATTGCGAATATTCATTCAAATAATTATAACTTTTAACAAAATCTAAAAACCGACTTGAAATTGCTAAAAAAGAAGTTATTTATTTGCCATCCTTAGGGGTGAAATTTTTATGCGACCACCCATGAAGTATACCTATTTAATAAAAAAAGAATCATCAAAATTGGTTTACAATCTGCGAAGATATCACGTAACATACATACAAAAAAACATACACTCGAATTGATGACCTCCTCCTTATTGAAACCGTTAAAAAGAGAGATTTTTGAAGTAAAACTTCTGTAAGTACGACTTGAGAGTAGTTCGATCTTCTTTCAGACGGTTGTAGCGTTGAGTAAAATGTATGATCCGTATTCACAGTTTCCGCATTTATGAATACAGCGAACGACTATGACTATAGTAGTAAATTCATGTTACAAACACAAATTATATCTCATATAATTTTCAGATTATAGGACATTTAGTATTTTGAATATATTTTATACAATCTTAATTATTATAATAATTCTAAAGTAATAAATTATAATATTATTAATAAATATTTTATTAATAAATTAAGCAAAAAATAGTGACAAATCAAAAAATGATAAATAAATAATAACAAATAAATAAATAAATAACAGAAATAAATATTTATATTTTGAATCGCGAGTAAAGGTTTACGCACTCATTTTTAAACATCGAAGAAATATAAAATAGACGTCCTAGTGCCTGCAGTCCAAAGCTGTTTGACCTTTGAAACTGCGCCAGGTTACACCAACGGGCGTGGCGGGCGCAGATAACTAAAAATCGTTTAAAAATAAGAGTACCTACCTCTTGTTTCATCCCGCGAGCGCCGTAGAGGCGGTTATGGGAAATGCCATAATGATGTAATGACCTACTGCGATAGATTTTTTAATAAAATTGTAATGACAAACTATTTGCAGGCCTGTTGGTCTAGTGGTTAGTGACCCTGACTGCTATGCCGGAGGTCGTGGGTTCGATTCCCACCCAGGACAAATGTTTGTGTGATGAACACGATCATTTGTTCTGTGTCTGGGTGTAATTTATCTATAATATTTATGTAATTAGAAATATATAAGTATGTTTATCAGTTGTGTAGTGCCCATAACACAAGCTCTGCTTAGCTTGGGACTAGATGGCGTTGTGTGATAGTTGTGGAATATTATATTATATTATTATAACGTACATTCCACCTGATGGTTACAGACGTGTGGTCGTCACCTCTGGGGAGTAAGCTGGAATTCCTCACAGCCTGTAATTACGGCGGTATAGCCTAACCTAACGAACGAGGACAAGCGTCACAGTTTAGTGCTACTGTGACCGCTATTGAGCTACCCAAATGTAGCGATTATAGCATGACCGCCCCAACGGGAATGGGCCTACGTGTAGTGTTAAGGATAAATTAATGACAAAAATTAATTACATTAAATTTAATACTAAACTACTCAAGGGTACTGGAACAGGAGATGATAAGCAGCATCTACCTGACAACAAAAAAAAAACTACGATTGCAAGCACTCCTGCCAAACTTAGCAGCTATGGGGCAATCAATGGGGGAGGTCTATTTCCAGCAGTGAACTTTTGATAGGCCCTAATGAATTAATGCATGAATGAATGAAAATTACAAGGGTGTATGAATGTTGCAAGTAATGAATTACTTGCAACATTCATATACCCTTGATTCCTTGAGACCGTCCGTTGTTAATTACTCGAGTGCATGACTCAATCTAGTGAGTCAAAACAAATGCCGACTTTAGATAAGGCGGGGCAATAAAATTGTGTTTATTTACGTATCCCGAGTAAAGGGGTTGCTTGGCCGAACTGCATAGATACAATCGAGCAATAAAGTGTCCCGGTAGAAAATATTTTTACGCCGATTAAAAGTCTAGCTTAGAATATATAAGCCATTATCTATACTTTAATATAATAAAGCGGAAGAGATTTTTTGTTTTTTTGTTTGTATAAACGCGCTAATCTCTGGAACTACCAGTCCGATTTGAAAAATTATTTTTGTATATTATAGCCAGATTCATGTGGAATAGTATAGGCTATCTAGCATTAAGCTATATTACTCAGCTAGCCTTAAATATGGATATTTGTTAAGCAAGTCAGAAGAAAAAGAACTCCCGAAATGATTTATCCGCGTACGCTGATGTTATCGTTAGGGATACGTAAATACAATGTTCTAGAAAAATATAGACCTTTACTCCGTCTAAAAAAAAGTCCGCAATGTCTATTTCTTATACATAAGCCATAATTTGGAATTTTGTGACAAAAAAATATTGAAAATTTAAAAGTGATTTATGAGTGTTATTATTAGGCATGGTCTATTTATCCTTATGAACGAAAGCTACTTCATCATCAAGACAATTTTATGTACATACAATTTGTTCTTTATACCATGTTATTTGGACGCATAGTTTAAGAGATAATGTAAAATTAAAATAATTCAATACTTGGCTGGGCGCGCGAACGACGCTTAAACCCTAGCCGTTATAAAATGCTTGAACTAGGTCAAGTCGCGCACCTCGGACACGTGATGACGCGTGTGAAACCGCGGGACACAGCTAGTCTATTAATAATCAATCAAAAACTTCTGACTATAATATTACGATCAAGTTCTATGTGTTAGTTTTTGCTTTGGTCACACCATAACTTAAAATTTAAGACCATGTTTATCTTTATTGTTTTATAGGTATTTAAGTTGTTTATATTAAGGATAAAATGGAACTGGTACGTAAAAGTTACTTAAAATAAAATAAGACATTTAAATTGTTTTCGAAATAAGCGCCTTGCTTCGAATAAGGGTAAAAGGCGTTATAATATAAAACCTTATCTAATCATCTTCAAATATTTAAAGAGCGTTTTATCTTTAAAAGGTTTGTTAATAAAATATAAAACATATATTGTAATAATGAATGCGCGACGTTACTGAGCAAACGTAAACAATGGGTTGTCCCGAAGTAATCGATCGGTGAGGTGGATAAACTCTAGGAGTGTCCACTATGGGTAAAGTAAAACCATATTAGTTTTACTTTACCACTGTTAGGCACAGGCCTCCCCCTTTGATCCTTCCTTCAAGAAATTGATTATGGAGCAATTAAACCGCTTGTTCCAGTGCGTGTTGGCGAACTTACATGTGTTCGAAATATTTTTATTCCTCGGAAATGGTACCACCCTTTTTCAGTTTCTCCACTCTGCTCAGTCTTAAGTATCCTCAGTAGTGAGTCCATTCACTTTAATGACCTCATGTTTGCAGCTCTTTGGTGTACTACATGGTCTCGCTGCTGTCATTACTGTAATATGCCCGTACCCATCTTAGCAGCACAGGCGCAAAGCGCAAAGCAAAGCGCTCGCAGTTGATTTCACAGTACGCGAGCAACCAATGTGCGATCTCCGTGGGCAGCAATGAAATTAATAATTGCAATTCTAAGTGCTCATTTACCACGTGCTCGGCGGTGATAAAAAAACATCGTGAGAAAAGTTGCATCAGAGATGAGAAGATGTGTGCTTGTGTATTTTAAAGTATCAACACATTTTATATTAAAAGGAACAATAGAATTAGCAGCATAATATAATATATATAAATAAAATGATTGATGTTTGCAGTTGTGCGCGCATCACGGGAAAACTACTGGATAGATTTCAATTAGGGTTTTTAAGTTTTATTTCTTAGACACTTGGTCCTTGTCTAAAAAAAAATATGTTGCGATATCTTCATTTAATATAAAGTTATTAAAGTTTTAAGAAAGAACTATTTTTATAAGCACTACGTGTTCAGTGAACATTATATGGAACGAATAACATTGTTTACAAAAAAATTTGGTAAGCAAAGTATACTTTTGCTTGCGATCTTTTTGATGTTTTTTCGCACATACGAAAACTTTGTAAATATATATTTTTTTATATTAGCTGATACCCGCGGAAGATGTCGCGGGTATCAGCTAGTTATGAAATATAATCTTTTCTTCTCGACTGTACCGGGATACAGTTTATTTACACTTCGCTGTCCTAGTTTAAGAGTAGTCGGGAGCGGAAAAGTACACACGTATATCAGCTGCTCGGCTGCTCGAATATTATGTAATGAATACTATGTTCATTCATTATATCACGATAGTGTATTAAATATGATCGGCTTATATTAGCTTAAGGTGTTATCACACCAATTGATCGATCGTCGATCGATGCCAATTATCGACGTCGTTCGATCTCGATCGATTGTGTATGTATCAAAATTTATCTAGAAGACGACAATAGGGAGCGGTCGGTGGAGCGGGGCGGGTTCTCAATAATCCAGCAGCTCGATCGACGTCGACTTATCCATCGCACCATCGATAGATCGATTGGGATACATCATAAGAAACGAGTAAACTGTAACTTTTAGCGATTAGTACGATTTCGTAGGACTCTACATCATTCTTTCTTTGCCCTTGTGATATTAGTGTGGAACTCACCTTCAAGCACTTGAGACAGAACGTATGCTGGCAGGGCAGCACGCGTGAGGAGGTGTCGAGCCTCTCCAAGCACACGGAGCACTCCAGAAGGTCGTTCAATAGACCCTCATCCATTCCGTTCGGAACCTGAAGAAAGAATACGACATTACTGTAGTTTACAGCATGTACACCTACAAATTAAATAAGTAACGGCCTATATACATCACACGGCTGGGCACAGGGCTCCTCTCATTGAGAGATTTTGTGCAGGAAAGAGTCACTCACTTAACTCACTGTCCATTTACTAAAAATATTTGAGTCCGATGAAGCTGTAGGCGCCGCATAGGCAAACAGCATCAACATCACAGAAACTAGAATTATGCGCAAATACTCAAACGCTACTCAATTTTAAGATGTTGTTACGTCTCGTGCTGTCTCTATTACTTAAGTCAAAGTGACTGTGACACCACGAGACTTAACGACATATTACAATCGAGTAGCGTTTGAGTATGTGGTATAGACTATAAATATTTTTATTTTTAACTATCAGATACAGGTATATTCACTGTTTTCTCCACTACAGTGGGGATCGAATACATTTTGCTCGCGTACTATACTACTATAGTAGTATAGTATTATACTACTATAGTATACTATAGTACTATAGTAGTGCAGTAGTAGTATAAATCTATACCGCACTATTATCCAGGGGTGTCACTTCAACTATGGAAGGTATGGAGCACTCCATACCTCAAGTTTTTCAAGGTATGGAATTCCATAGCTGAAATTAGGAAATAAATCGCATATTACTACAAACCCCATATAAATAAATCGCAAGCCCTTAAACCTCAATACCCCACATCATCTATCACACATAAGTTGAGTATATACACTGCAAACTCTTAAACCTTAATACCCCACGAGTAATGCGAACAAATTTGAAAATCGCGCCACCATTTTCCATACCTCAGATTTTTACAAAGTGACACGCCTGCTATTATCACATAACCTACAACTAATATTTATATTTTTCATTTATTCATTACAGTCTATAAAAGACCACTGCTGAACATAGATTCAGCAATGGACTTTTAATAAGCAATATATAGGGGAGGCCTATGCCAAATCGGTTCACCCGTTTAAGAGTTACGGTGCCACAGACAGACACACACATAGCGTTCAAACTTATAACACCCATCTCTATGCGTCAGGAATTAAAAGAGTATACTGCTAGCAATCGGAAGCCATTATATTATTCTGGAATTTCTTATAATCGCTTCTTAGGACACTCACGGAATACAATGTAGTTATAGACTATCTTAAGAGAAGAAGAAGAGATTACAGTTGAAATCGGTTAATAACGACATTGAATGAACCCTTGGAATCTAGCTCCAACTGAGGACGCTATAGTATATCCGACAGATAATTTTATAATAAACAATATATCTACATACAAGTTAAAAATATTTAATTTATATCGGTTACTATTTAAATGAACTAATTAACAAATAAACATTTGTCTTTGTGTTTATATGGTGACCGAGTTGGGCCTAGTGTTGCCAAAGGCCGGAGCCCATCGCGATTGTCCCGGAGTAGCTATGTCAAGGGTCTCAGAATGACCAAAAATGTCCCGGATATTTAAAATCGCATCAAGAATAGAAAACGGCTTAAATAGTTTCGCGTGTATCGCATTTTCACGTTTAGGCTAGCGCGCTGGCAGAAGTGGAGGAGAGTGATAGCACAGCAATTTGCTATCCTAATGCCAAAAATCATCGGAATTGATACCTATAGATACCTGTACTTGTACAAGTGATGAGAAATAATATTTTTGCTGTATGAGGACTTTCTTGTCACAAGTCCACTGCTGAACATAAGCTACCCCCAAGGAAGGCCACAAAGCACGGTCCTAAGCCACCTGCATCCAACGACTTCCTGCATGTCTTACCAGGTCGTCACTCCATGTAGTGGGGGGTCACTCTACACTTTCAACTACAACTTTCCTGTTATTAGTATTAGAATAATTTAAAATTAAAAATTTTGTACAGCCGACTTCAATACAAGTTATTTAAGAATAACTCAAAAACTATTGGTCTGACCTTGATCAAATTCATATGGGACCACACGCGAACTATCAGCTTTCATATAAAAAAAGAATCATCGAAATCGGTTTACCCGGTACAAAGTTATGAAGTAACACACATAAAAAAAACATACAGTCGAATTTAGTACCGTCTCCTTTCTGGAAGTCGGCAGAAAATGAACAATAATTTAAAATTAAAAATTTTGTACAGCCGACTTCAATATAAGTTATTTAAGAATAACTTAAAAACTATTGGTCTGACCTTGATCAAATTCATATGGGACCACACGAGAAGTACCAGCTTTCAAATAAAAAAAGAATCATCGAAATCGGTTCACCCAGAAAAAAGTTCTGAGGTAACACACATAAAAAAAAAACGAAAAAAAAAAAAACATACAGTCGAATTGAGTACCGGCTCCTTTTTGGAAGTCGGCAGAAAAGAACAAAATATCGTTTTTGAAAAAAGAAGATTGTCTAAATCTTTAAGGGGTTTTGTTCATCCTGTCCATAAGTACTTGAATTTATAACAATATTGATGGACCTGAATGGTCGAAATTAATTGCAGCTGAAAAGTAATGAGAGATATAATTAAGTATGAATAAATATAATAAGTACCTATATTTTATAGTTTTTTTTTTTATTTTCCATACTTTCCTATTGTCCAGGAATTCACGTCTTTAGATCTAGCCACCTCATCTGGGACCTAGCGAATAACCAATCCGTCGTTATAAGCATTATTGGCTTATCCGGTTTTGACTTATTGTTTAAAGAAACAGTCATTTTAACCGACTTCAAAAGGGAGGAGGTTCTCAATTCGACTGCATTTTTTATGTATGTTAGCTCAGAACGTTTTCTAGGTGAACCGATGTTGATGATTCTTTTTTTTATTTCAAAGCTGGTGCTTCTCGTGTGGCCCTAAATAAATCTGATCAAGATCTGACCAGTAGTTTTTGATTTATCCTTAATAATGCGTATTTAATTGATGATTTCCATTGACGATGTTCTCATTATTATTTATATTGATGTCGGTTGTACAAAATGTTTAATTTTATCACTTGTTGAAACCGTGTATTCGTGTGATCGTATCCGCATTACATACAAATAACATTACTTACCAGATTAATCCCGTATAATATATTCGAAAATGTACTATCCACCTACTCATTTCCATTCTATGAAGTAGAAGTACTCAAATACTTTAACGACGGAAGTCTCGGTCCCCTACGTCCACCTAGCGGCTCTAATACCCACTGCCTCCATCATACGACTTCCGGCGACGTATTTGCGTTATGAACATGGCAACAAAAAGCAAAAACTAATTTCCTACATCTATGCGATCCGGAAATTTAGAAAAGCGATTACGGCACTATATTATGAAAAAAATCGATCAAGTGCTAGCTAGCTATACACAATTAATGCCACCAGGCCCTTAACTCTCCCCACTGAATTATGTCTATAAGATAACAATTACAGACGGTAAATTGAAGAAATTTTTTCGACTTGGTTAATGCATGATAAATATATATTTAATTAGATGACCCGCAAGGCTTCACTCGCATAAAATTCGAGAAGAAGCAGTCATTTCATTTTTTTTTAATGCAAATGATTTTTATCAATCTACTTACACATCTATCATCAAAACATTGTCCATGTCTCTTGGGAATAATGTAGCTTTCTATCAGTTGAAGAATTTGAGGAATTCGATCAGTAAAAGTAAATTTAAAAAAAAGTTACAGCTTATATACCGCCCACTCCAACAGTCAAGTGTCCAACAGGAAAGGAAGTGTTTACCGCGCTGCCCCAATACGTGTTAGCAGACTACACATGTCTACGAAATATTCTTTTTTATTTCTCATACATACAATTTTCCTCACGATGTTTTCCTTCACCGCCGAGCACGTTGTAAATCAGCACTTATAATAATTGCATTTAACAATTTCATTGGTGGCGACGGGGATCGAACACGGGTTGCTTATGGTTTTTTTTTATAGAAGAGCATGCGTGAGAGAGCGTGAGAACATGCGGCTCATCTGATGGTAAGTGACTACCGCCGCCCATGAACAACTGTAACACCAGGGGAATTGCAGGTGCGCTGCAGGCCTTTTAGAAAAGAGTATGGAGGTATCGTGAGTTTTATCGCAATGTGCGTTCGTGAAATTTGGCGGCTTGAATCAATCCGATCAATTCCATAGAGCACTCCCCATGGTAAATGTGATAGAAAATGCAAAGGGATGCAACATCTCTTCGCAGTGCCAGTGAATCGAGCCGATCAGAAAGAACTCGGCCGTCGACGATTCGGGCCGCTCTGCGCTGGATTCGGTGAAGTAGAAGAAGCTGGCACTGGTGTGCCCCGCTCCAGAGATGAGAGCAATATTCCACGTGAGGTCGAACCTGCGCCTTGTAAAGTTGCGAGCAGTGTGCCGGCAGGAAATACTGTCCCGCTCTGCTGAGCCCGCCAAGCTTTTCCGAGGGCTATTTAGCCTTCCTTCCCAAGTGACCTCCCACGAAACTGACGTCCATCGATATGACGAGCTGAGGATTCTGATGCTGACTGATACATAGGCTGCACTAAAAGTATCGGGAATGGAATATTTCCACTGTTCCTGTCATATTAAAATCTTTTTAATTGAAAACCCCTTGGTTTTAAAAATCGAATACCATTTATTTATTTAAAAAAAGATTCTCGGTCGTGTCACAAGGTTTTGTCAAACTTGTTTGGTCGTTGAGAAAATGGAATTGACTCGAGAAAATTCAAGAGCGATGATTTATTATGACTTTCGAAGTGGTTTAACACAAAAACAGTGTGTTGATCGGATGATTTCTGCATTTGGTGATGAAACCCCATCCAAAACCACAATTTATCGCTGGTTTGCTGAATTTCAACGTGGACGTGTCAAGCTCAGTGATGATCCCCGTCAAGGTCGTCCAAAAACTGCAGTCACCCAAGAAAACGTTGATGCTGTGCGTAAGCTGATTGAGGAAGATCGACATGTGACATACCGCGAAATTCAGGCAACTTTAGACATTGGCATGAGTCAAATACAAATAATCTTGC